AGACTTTTGAAAGCCTGGCTATTTAAAAAATTTTATTAACCACTCCGACCAAAAGATCAGCGAGAATCCTGTGTGTTCTCTTTTGCCAAAGAACTGTTTAACACTATTTTATACTATCTTTTACTTTGCTGATTTAACACTAATCAAATGATCACTCTTCTTATATTAATTCCATTTTGTAAAATTACTTCTCTGATTTTGTAAAATTACTTCTATTACTTTAAAATTTACATTACTTTAAAATTTTTTCTTATTAATTCAGATTGCTTTATTGGTGTTTAAATAAAAACCTTAATACTTGTGAACATTTGTACTAAATTATGTCCATGTATCACTCAATCTCTGAATTAATTGATCCATGATATAAATTACATGAAACGTCTTCATTTATTATAAATTGTTATAATAATGGATTGTTATAACGACTTATGATGATTGAAAACAATGGATTGTTGTAGCAACTTACGATGAATGAAGACGTTTCATTCATGTAATTTACATCATTCCACTTTTTCGATTTTATTTATCTCCATTTCGCCTAGAACAGAATATCAAGTCTGAGAAATATAGAATTATCGAACTCGAGCTTAAGTTAAAAACATTTTATGAACATCTACTAACAATAAGCATCAAGATCCATTTTAATCGAAAATTCTCTTATAATTTGTATTTATAAAGTTCGTTATCGTATTCATTACATATATGATTAAATATAAATATATGATAAATGTACATGATTATAAACAATTTTATTATTTTTTTGATAAAACCTAATAATCCAATATTATTACTCAATAATTAAAATTTAAAATTGTATATAGGCTACAAGTAAACGCTGGACGTCAAGTGCTAAATTGATATTTAATATTTTAAACAACAATCAAGATTAATAACTATTTTTCTCCTATTCTTTTATTCTAATTTGTCACAATTTATTGCTATAATATGAAGATGATTACAATCGAATGGGAACTTAAGAACTATTACAACAAATGTGATATCGACTCACTAGAAATGGCAAACATTCTTAATAAACGCAATAAATAAATAAAATATTTATCTTAAGATTGCAATGATCGATATTGGACGATTATTTATTACGAATTTATTACGAATGATCAATACTGGACAATAAGCTGTCAAACGAAGAGAAAAATAGTTCGGAATTTTGTAACTCATAATCTATAATTTAAATTTTATTGTTAATCGACTTGGCGTAGCAAACTTTTTTTATTATTAACTATATTTTGTTACACTCAGAGCCTGTGAATGAAGAAGGTTGAAATGTGTATCTTTTATATATTCTTATCTATGTTTTAAATATTAAATATCAACTTAGCGACATCCAGTTTACTCCTAGCTTATATTTTAAAATCTAATAAATAATCATAATTTTATTCCATATTTTTATTTTATAAATAATGTGGTACAATGTCTCCTTCTACTGTTATAAATGTTCTGGAGTTGGAATGATTGTAACAAAATTCCTCATAGTCTAATAAATATAATTTTTTCCATAATTATATTACAAAATTAAATAAAAAAAATTTTGTAGCTAATAAATTTTGTTTCGTTTCTAAAGATACATATCTTTTTAACGTAAAAATTATATTTTAATTGTTATAAAATTTTAAAGTTAAAATGTGTTATTTTCGTCCCTAATCTCGTCTATCAATTTTTAACTTTAAAATACATTTTGTTTCGTTTTAGAATATTTTTTCATTTTCAAAAAATAACAATATAAAAATAATTCTTTTCCCATATATTATAATTTATGGGAAAAAGATATTTTACTTCAATTAATACTACATTATGTAGAAAGTAAGTGCTTTTGTACTTATATAATACAATCACGTTATACTAAATCATAAAAATAATATGAAATTGACAAAATACAATATGGCAGAAAAATTATAAGGGGATATCGCATTCGGATTTTGTCAGCAGGATTAATCTTCCTGCCATACTGTATTTTATCAATTTCATATTGCTTTTTAATTTTTTTAATGTAATCCGATTATATCACATAAATATGGAAACACGTACTTTCCATAAAATATAATAGAAAAAATAAAATATTTTTTCTACATGTTACATAAAAGAGTTATTTTCAAATTGCTATATCTCGAAAATAAAAAAATCATACGAAACAAAATGCATTTTTAAGTTAAAAATCGATCTTTTCATGTATAATGAAATTTAGAAAAAAATTACTACCTGTTACAATACCATAAAGATTTCTTAAAATTGTTGTTTTTTTTCTTATAATGGAACAATTTGATAAACGAAATTATATTCAGCACGTATCTTCGTTCAAACAATGTTGCCAATTCGTAGACTAATGTTATTAAGGTTCTACTAATAATTCTACTACTATTGCGTGCTATTTTTTAAGAGATCTTTAAGATTTCTTTTTTTAAATGAGTGAATATTTTTCAAATAATTTTTTGAATTTTTTTATTGTTGTTGAAAAATGAAATTTTTTATTTTTTTTAATAGAAAATATAAATAATATTTGACATGTTACAAATCCATTTTCCTTCTGCATCATATACAGAGTTCATCGCTATGATTCTGGGTTTCCATTAATCTGAAATAAAAAAATAAGACTTCATTTTAATCAGGATACTTGTAAATTTGAATTAGAATTATTAATTTCGTCTAATAAATAAATAAATAAATAAATGATATTTGTTTTAAAAAAAGTTTAATTTTTCCTTTTTTTAAAAATGGTTTCAAACTCCAAAAAAAAAAATAAAAAATTAAGTTATCAAGTAATTCTAATTCCGACGATAAAAGAATGTGCATTTTATAAATCCTTAAAATTTGAAGTTAATCGATTCAAAGGTTTTTTTTGATCGCAGTCACCATTTCTGAAAAAATCATTTCGAGAAAATTGCCTTTAAAGTTTGATATTTTTATACAGATAACAAAAGAATTTTGTAACTTTATTCGTAAATTCCGACATTTCCAGGATCATAAAGTAGACTTAACAAAAAAGAATGTAGCAAGGAATGTGGAAAAAAAGGGCACTGCCAATAATAAGAAAGTCCTTCTAGCGAGCGTCGACGGTCGCGCTTAGGTAACGCGCTCACAGTTGCGCAGAATAACTATTATAATTTCGTTGATATTCCCAATTTTTGCATAAAACTTTACAGAAATATTCTACAAACTATAAGGATTTAAAAAATGTAAAAAAGATCAATTTTTTTACTTGACAAAATAGAATACCCCATTAAATATTAAACAATATGTAATTTTAAAATATAACATTATACAAAAAAGTAACGGATCGTTCTAAGTAACTAGTAACGTGTTAATTTTCCAACTTCAACAATCTCTTATATATACATATATATATATATATATA